ATTGGTACTTGGGTGTTTTTAGAATTCGTTGTCGGATAAGTGTTTTCAAGTAAGGTTTTGGGAAATTTAGCGTAAGTGAGAAGAAATAGCGCGTAAGTGTGTGCTTACGTCGTTATAGCAAGAAAGGAGGGTTTTAAGGACTCTTAAGAACTAAACGGCCAGCAGGCCCCTCCTACGGGTGATCAAGGATCGGAAGGGTCAACCCTGCAGCCAGGAGCGACCGGGAAAGTGCGGAAAGTGAGCTAGAAGTACCAGGACGGCAGAAGACCAGTACAGGTCATCTACGGACTTAGAATAATTTCGAATAGTGAGAGTCGTATAGTGTTTTGGGACTTATAAATTCGGCTAAGACGAAAACCGGACTTAGAAAATTTCAAAGAAGTTGGACTTAGAATTTTTCGGGAGAGTCTGAGAAAAGAGGGCTGTCATCGACGTGCCTGGGTGTGGTCGGGACGCCAATCAGAAAAGTGTGTGTATAATTGTGTATAAGTGTCTCTGTGTGTGTATAGTATAAGGTGTATTAGTATCGGTACTTGGGTGTTTTTAGAATTCTTGAAATATAAGTGCTTTCATATATGGGTACAGGAAATATAGCGTAAGTGGAAAGGAATAACGCGTAAGTGAGCACTTACGTCGTTACAACGATAAAAGTAGGGTCGAAGGACAGGAAAAGGCCAGCAGGTACTGCTTGCAGGGGATTCAAGCCTGCAAGGGCCAACCCTGCGGTCAGGAGCGAACGGGAAAGAGCCGAAAGTGAGTAGAAAGTACCAGGTCGGCAGAAGACCAGTACAGGTCAGCTACGGACTTAGAAAATTTTCGAATAGTAGAATCGTATAGCGAACTTGGACTTGTAAAATTTTAGCTCGGATAGAAATCGGACTTAGAAAAATTACTGGAGAATTCGGACTTATAAAAATCTCTGAAGAGTCGAGGAGTGAGCCAAGTGCGGGACTTAGAAAATTTCAAATAGAAAGTAAGAGAGGACTTGCTAAAAATTTATAAGTCAACGGAAATCGGGGACTTAGAAAATTTTTGTAGAATCCAAGGACATAAGTGTTTATTGAAATAAAAGTAGGAGAAGCTGCTTAAGTGCTTCTATAAGGTGTCAGAACCGTTGGCAGTGCACATAAAGCGTAATTGTAGAAGTCCGAGAAATTTAACGTAAGTGCATGGAAATACCGCGTAAGTGGTCAGTTACGCTGTTTCTGACATAAATAAGGGTTACTAAGGATCCAAGGCCAACAGCCCCCCCCCCTAGTGTGATTTGAACCACGTGGGGCCGGCCCTGTGGCTAGGAAAAGGCGGGAGTACAGCTGCTTGGGAGCCGAAAGTATCAGGCAAACAGTAGGAAGCAGAAGGTCGACGCGGGACTTAGAAAAATTTCCGAATAACGGGCGAAGACGAAAACTGCAGAAAATTTATAAGTACACTCAAAAAAGGGGACTTAGAAAATTTTTGGAGTGTTTTGAACTTTGAAAATTTTCCTATGCTTCCTGTGTAAAGTCAGGGGAAAATGACATAAGGTCCAGAAATCGGGACGAACACCAGGAAATCCCAGGAAATAAGGGTAAAAGGACGTATTTAGTGGTACTTAGACGGAGAGAAGGGATAAGGGCTACACAGAACCGGTAGTTGAGTGGTTTTGGCAAAATATCTAGAGCGAGGAGACTTAAACGCTGCGAGAAGGAAGGGGAAAAAGCCGAAAATCGCGAATATCTTAGAAACCAGTGGAGATAGGCGGAAACTGACATCGGAAATCCATACCTACGGGGTAAACCTACTTTAGGGGGACCTAAAGGAAGGGGTATACCCAAAGGTGCGAGAAAGGATCCAGGGGGGGTTTTTGACCCCTAGGTGACTGAAAGCCGAAGTGGCAAGGACCTAGCTGGTTGTAAAAGAAGATATAAGGCCTGTAAGGGAGAAAAACAAGTGAAAGGAAAGGAGAAATAACAAAGGGGTGAAGACAACCTTACCTGGAAGGTTTAAACCCTTTAGGTTGAAGGTAGTAGAAAGAGAAATAACGATGAGAAGAACGCAAATGATGAGGAATAAGGAAGGTAGGCAGTATCTAGCGAGACTGGAAGAGGAGATCAAGAAGGGATTTGATCAAAGAATCAGAACAATAGGCAACGCCTATCGGGTACTACAGGAGGAACCGATAAGAGGAATGGACAGAGAGCTGGAGGAAAAAGTAGAGTGGGCGAGAAAGAGACTAGAAAACAGGTTGAAGATTCAAGAGTGTGCGGCGGAGGTACCGAAGAAAGAGAACAAGGAAAGATCGGAGTTGAGGGCGGCGGCAAATATTGCCGCAAAGCTTGCGGCCCCACAAGGCAGAGCAAAGGAAAAAGGGACCTTCAGCGCAATCAATAATGATTACCGACAGAGGAGTGTATCGAGGACGGTGCCGCAAACTATCATAGTGGAAAGGATTGTGAAGGAAAAGGCAGCACCCCAGACGAGAAGGGAACAAATAGAGGAAGTGCTGGACAAGAGAGCGAGGGAAAGAGCGAACACGGAAACGACGATTGAAATTTTGGCAATGATGACAAAAAGGGACAAGAAGAAGTTAAGGAAATTGGCGGAACAGGGATACGAGATTCAATTGAAGACTCACGTAGAAATCAAGGTAATAATTGGAAAAGACAGAGAAGTACTCAGAACCAACCTAATTAACATGATTCCACTGTTTGCAGCGGTATACGGACGAGATTTCGTAAGGCATAGGGAGGACGGGATAACGCCGAACGAGCTGCTGGAATACCTGAAGGAAACAGAGGCCGAAACGGTAATATGGTTCGTAATGAATGAGTGGATTCTCTCGGGTACCAGAATGGTACCCGAAGCAGTGAGGAGACAGGTGGATGAGTTGAGAGCAACAAGATATGTCAAAGGAAAGATGGAAGCGGGTATTGAAACAACCACAGAATCGGAAGGAGAGAAATCAACGAGAGGAAGGACCAGAGTTAAAAGAGGAGAAGAAGGATTTACGTCGGATTCGGATTACCACAGGGACACGGGATCGGAGGTAGAGGTAGCAACGCTGGATAGTGAAGCACTGACATCCTCGGAAGAAGAGGAGGAAGAAGTAGATTATGAAGAGGAAGTGTCTGAAATTCCCCCTCCATACCAGGAGAGGGAGGAAGAAGGTAGAATATATCCAAGAGTGGACATAAGTGAAAGTGAAGAAGAAGAAGTAGAAATGACAAAAGAGGGAGTGGAAGTGGACGTGAAGCCACCGATTGCACCCATACTCCCAACAAGGAAAGAAAGATACGTCAGCTCAGAGGAAAAAGAAGAGAAGGAAGATACGGAGGAAAGCAAGGCAAAGATAAAGGAAATGGTCAGAGGGAAATTGGATCTAACATACGAACTAAGGGACGCACAGATGGAGAACAGAAACCTGAAGATAGTCTTGCAGGGGATACTAGATAGACTGGAGAAAATAGAGAAGGACAGGGAAGAACCAAGGGTGGAAAGGAGAATGGAGAAGCAAGAAGTAGCAGGGGCAAGCAAGATTGATATTCCTGAAACACCCGAACTGAAGCCGGAACCAAAACCTAGGACGAGGCTGGCAGGAAAAGCTGCGGGCGAAGCGGAGTTCGAAATAAATGGAGATAAACTGAAGAACTCGGAGAGACCAAGGTTCAGGATTGCCGCAAAAGTTGCAGGAGGGGCAGAATTCGAGTTGAACGCAGACAAGCTGAAGGAATTGCACGATAAAGTCACGGCGCCCTTCAGGAGCATAAAGCAGAGCTGCGACAAAATTGAAGGGATAATGAGGCTGAGAGGAGGAGATGATGAAGACAAAGATGACGTCGAGGGGAATAAAACTAAGGGGCAGGGAATTAGCCAGCAGAAGAAAAGAAGCAGGGAGACCTCCCCAGAACTGGACGGAGAAGCGGAATTCAGATCGCAGGCAAGAAGTGAGAAGGAGAAACCGCCACCTACAAAGAAAGTACACACGCCGAGGAAGTTGGAAGGAAAGCAAGGGTTTACCCACATCCAAGCGGCGGGAAACGTAGCTCTGTCGCCAAAGGTGAAGAAGCTGGAGGACCTGGTGGACCTTACCTCTAATGAGGTAGACAGAAGTGAAAACGAGAGAGAGAGCAATAGACGGGAAAGGGACAACGACAGCGACGAATCGGAACAAGAGGAAGAGGAAACAAAGGACCAAGTAAAAATGGAGACAGAGGACAACGAAGAGGAGAGGGAAAACAAGGAAGTAGGGTCAGAAAGGAGTGGAAAGAATAGCCCAGACCCCAAGAGGAAACCATATTTCCGCAGCGTTAGTAGTAACAGTAGCAGAAGTGAATACATTCACCCGGCCCTGAGTGAGGAGGACAGGAAGGAAGCCTGGACGGGACTCACGGTGGGAGCCTACGGACAAGCGATCCGCAATGACCTAGTAGAGATGAGGAAAAAAGTAGAGAACTCCATTAAAAAATACAGCAACGAATCGAAACAGGATTTCAGGAAATGCGTAAATTGGTACGAAAGAAAGATAGAGGATGTGATGACACTGAGAATAAATATGAAGAGTCTGGAAAGGACAGTAACAGAGGCTGTAATAGAAAGCACAGAGAGGGTGCTAACACCAGAATGCGCAGTTTTGCAAAAGGTTATAGAAGCATCAGTTGCAGAAACTATATCTAGAGCGATGACAGAAAGGCTGGACGCGTTCTTGGAATGCACAACGGAGATGCTGGAAAGAAGCGTAACAGAAGTAAACAAAAGCATTCGGGGCCAGATGGAAGAAAGTCTGAAAGAATTGAACAAAGGAATGGAAAGTATAAGGAACAAACCCGAAAAAGGAATGGAGGAACTCAAAGAACAAATGGTGAAAAGTATGAAAGAAGAGATGAGAACAATAAGCAAGGAAATACAGGAACGGGTAAACAAGGCGATAGACAAACTACCTGAAGCAAAAACGGAAAAGCTACAGAGGAGCCTAGAAAAGAAGATTGAGGACGGACTCAAAGGAATGGCAGAAAAACTACCGGAAGCAAAAATAAAAGAGCTGCAGAAGAATATGGAGAAGCAAATCGAAGATGGATTCAAAGGGTTAGTAGGAAAACTGCCCGAAACAAAAACAACGGAGTTACAGAAGAATATGGAAAAGAAGATCGACGAAGGATTTAAAGGGCTGTTACAAAAACTGCCGGAAGCTAAAACTGTGGAGCTGCAGAAGAGTATGGAAAAGAAGATAGAGGAGGGATTCAAAGGCTTAGCGGGAAAGATACCCGAAGCAAAAACGACAGAATTACAAAAGAGCATGGAAAAGAAGATAGAGGAAGGTTTTAAAGGACTGAACAGTAAAATGGAGAAAATGAAATCAGAAGCAAAGAAGGAAGATAAGGGTTGGAAAGTTATAGAAACAAGAAACCAACCGAAGGAAAGAGACAGTTACGCAAGCAGACTGAAGGAGATAAGGGGAAAAAGAGACCCATCGGTAACGAAGATAATGGTAAGGAGTAAGAGTAAAAAGGAGGAGGGAGAAGAGGAAGAAAGGGAAGTGGAGGCTTCAGAGGTAAAGAAAATGATAAAGGATGTAAAGCCGGAAGGAACTATACAAGAATTTAGCAGAATAAAAGGAGGAGTCATAGTTCAAATAAAAACAGATAATAAGGAGATAACGAGGAAGGATCTGGAAAAGAAGCTCGAAGGAAAAATGGAGGTAAAAGAACTACAAGAGATTACGCCAACCCTAAAGATATTAGGGGTCCCCAAAGACATGGCGGACGAGAAGGTAGTAGAACTCCTACACGAAGACAACCTGGCAGATTTAATGACTTTGGAGGAAGCCAAAAAGGATGTGAAGATTTTAAATAGGTTTAAAGGAGGAGCTAAGTTCACCAGAACAGATGTAGCCATTATTAAAGCATCACAAAAGATTGCGGAGGAATTATTGAAGAGAGAAATAGTATACCTTGACTTTGTGAGATGCAGGGTTGAGGAGGAGATCAGTGTCAGGCTGTGCGGAAACTGCGGAATGCCAGGGCACAAGGCGGCCGACTGCAAGCGGGAACAAGTGTGCTTCAGATGTGGAGAAAAAGAGCATGTAAAAAGGGAATGCAAGAAGGCAATGAAGTGTGTTAACTGTGTGAGAGAAAAAAGGAAGAAAACCGACCATGACGTGTACTCAAGAGAGTGCCCCACTTACAAGAGAGAAATGGAATTCCAACTGAGAAAGAGGAAGTGGGGATGGAGTGAAGGAGAAAACTGGAGAGGGGACAGGAAGGAGGAGGAGGAGAAGAAAGAAAATGAAAACGGAGGGGACGACCGGAAGGAAGTATCATGAAGATTATACAGGTGAACGTCGGTAAAAGTGAAGATGCGATGAACGAGTTGAGAGCGTGGTGTGTGAAAGAGAAGGTGCAAGTAGTACTAGTGCAGGAGCCATACACAAGACCAGAGACCGGACTACCAGTATCGGGAGGCACAGGAGTAAGGGTGATCTGTGACGAAACGCCAGGGGATAGAGTAAAAGCGGCCATCTATGTATACGACGGCAGCCTGGAAGTTTTAAAAGTGCCGAGCGTCACTACCAAGTTAGCTGCAGTGGGCGTCATCGAAACAGAGGGAGAGCGTATTGTTTGCGCAAGTATCTATAGTGAAGGCAGTGACAAGGAAAAGAAGAGGGTGAACCTGCAGAAGATGAGGACCTCCGTGGATCTGATGGAGAGAATAGTGGAAAAGTTCGCAGACGAAAAGATACTGATTGGAGCTGACGCCAACGCCAAGAGCGAATGGTGGCACAGTGGAAGGAACGACGACCGAGGAGAGTTGCTGGAGGAAGCAATATTGCGTATGGAAATTTGCGTGCTAAATCAGCCAGGGTACCCTATGACTTTTCGAGGGTACAGAGGAAGAGAAAGTAATGTTGATGTAACCCTAGTGACGGAGAACTTGATAGAAGAGAGCGAATGGGAGGTACTCAAGGACGAAGATGGGGTTGCCCTGGCTGATCACAGAACTATAGTGATCAGAACTAAAGAAAATGAGGGGGGAACTGGGGGAGAGAGGGGGAGGATTAGAACGGAAGGAGTAGATTGGGAGAACTATAGGAGGGAGTTAGAATTGGAGTGGGCGAGAAGGAGGGAATGCGCAGCAGGAGAACAAGAAATGGAGGAGAGAGTGAAAAGGCTGACAGAAATTATAGTAAAAGTAAGTGAAAAAGTTTGTGGGAGGAAAAAGAGAGGTAATGGAAGAGGAGTCAAATGGTGGAATGAGCTGTTAAACGAAAAGAAAAGGGAGGTTAGAAAGAAAAGAAGGGAATACCAGAGAGCCACAGGAAGAGACAGAATGAAAAGAAAATACGAACTAGAAAGGACCTCGAAGGAGTTTAAGAAGATGATTGCAAAACAGCGCTTTGAAGGGTGGAAAAATTTCGTGAACGAGGTTGGAAGAAAAGACCCATGGAGTGTGGTATACCGGATGCAGTGCGAAAAGATGAAGACAGAGAAGGTGTTAAGTGCCATAAGCGAGAATGGGGAGGAAACGAAGGACATGGATGAGACACTGCAGGCCCTCTGTCGGAAGATGTTCCCATCGGACGACCCAGGGGGGGAGGATGAACAGCACACTAGTATGAGAGAGGAGATGAGAGAGGAAAGCGTAGGGGAAGACGATGTAGAGGTATCCGAAGAAGAGGTATTTAAAGGACTAGCAGGGATGCAAAATGGAAAGGCTCCCGGAGCGGATGAGATAGAGGTGAAAGTATTGAAAGAGTCGTGGGGAGTGGTTGGTGAGGAAGTGGTGTGGATTGTCAGGAAGATGCTGGAAAGTGGAAAGTACCCTAGCGAGTGGAAAATCGGGAAGCTGGTGGTATTATTGAAAGGGGGAAAACCACCGGGAGAAGTAGGATCTTATAGACCCATTACGCTACTCTCGGTGATCGGTAAGGTCGCGGAGAAGGTGATCGTCAGAAAGCTCCGGGAATGGATGGATAATAGTGGAGCACTGAGTGAGAGGCAGTATGGTTTCGTCCCTGGAAGGGGAACGGCGGATGCGTTATGTAAGCTGAAAAGCCTGGTGAAGAACTCGAACAAAACATACGTGGCAGGTATTTTTGTAGACGTTAAAGGAGCATTTGACAACGCATGGCCACCGCTGGTCTTAAGCGTGATGCGGGAGTTTGAGTGCCCGGGGAACCTTTACAGGTTAATCAGGGATTACCTAAGCGGGAGAAGTATAAAGGTAGGGAGAGTGGTGGAAAGATTCCTGTGGATGATCGCAAAAGGTTGCCCACAGGGAAGTGTGATTGGACCGGTAGTGTGGCTAATTTTGCTGCACGACTGGTTAAGAAGGAACTTTGGAGCCGGAGTGCATATTCTCGCATACGCGGATGACATCGTCATCCTCGTAGAAGAGAATAGGCAGAAGGAGCTCCAAAGAATCCTGAACGGAGTGATGAGAGATCTAGAAGAGTGGCTTCAGAAGGCAAAGTTAGAGTGGAGTGTGGGGAAAACAAAGGGAGTCCTGCTGAAAGGTGCGGTACAACCTCTAGTAGGATGCACCAAATGGACATGTCACTGGAGACCGAGTGTGAAAATGGGAGATGAGTGGGTGGAATGGGTCAAGAGCTTCGTGTATCTGGGTGTGAACATCGACCAGTCATGGCTGTTCGGTGGGCATGTCGAGAGCGCGGTAAGGAAGGCGAGCGCGGTGATGTGCAAGATGAAAAGGGTAAATAGAGCGACGTGGGGGGTGGGATATAGTGTCATGAATGTGATCTACGAAGGTGCGTTCCTGCCCATACTTCTGTACGGGGCAGGGATATGGTTCGAAAGAGCGGTGCAAAGCCATGTAAGGAGGAAACTGAGGGCTGGACAGAGGGCCGCCCTCCTGGCGGCCACGGCTGCCTATAGAACGGTGTCGTGGGTGGCGCTGGTGGCCCTCTGTGGCAAGCTCCCGGTGGAGAGAATGGTGCGTGTGAGAGGTATGGTGGAGATGCGGAGGTTCGAACTCAACGAAGAAAGAGTGGCGAAGGATGAAAGGTACAGAATGGTAAAGCAGCTCGAAAGTGAGCTGTTGGAGAAGGAATGGAATGAATGGGAGAGAGAGTATGGAGAAGTTGAGTTCGACCCGAAGCTTGGAAGAGTGAAGAATGTAAGAGTGAAAGAGCTTGTGCCGAGTGTGAAAGAATGGATGAATGAGAAAAGAGTGGTTGATAGGTGGATANAAGCATCACAAAAGATTGCGGAGGAATTATTGAAGAGAGAAATAGTATACCTTGACTTTGTGAGATGCAGGGTTGAGGAGGAGATCAGCGTCAGGCTGTGCGGAAACTGCGGAATGCCAGGGCACAAGGCGGCCGACTGCAAGCGGGAACAAGTGTGCTTCAGATGTGGAGAAAAAGAGCATGTAAAAAGGGAATGCAAGAAGGCAATGAAGTGTGTTAACTGTGTGAGAGAAAAAAGGAAGAAAACCGACCATGACGTGTACTCAAGGGAGTGCCCCACTTACAAGAGAGAAATGGAATTCCAACTGAGAAAGAGGAAGTGGGGATGGAGTGAAGGAGAAAACTGGAGAGGAGACAGGAAGGAGGAGGAGGAGAAGAAAGAAAATGAAAACGGAGGGGACAACCAGATGGAAGTATCATGAAGATTATACAGGTGAACGTCGGAAAAAGTGAAGATGCGATGAACGAACTGAGAGCGTGGTGTGTGAAAGAGAAGGTGCAAGTAGTACTAGTGCAGGAGCCATACACAAGACCAGAGACCGGACTACCAGTATCGGGAGGCGCAGGAGTAAGGGTGATCTGTGACGAAACGCCAGGGGATAGAGTAAAAGCGGCCATCTATGTATACGACGGCAGCCTGGAAGTATTAAAAGTGCCGAGCGTAACTACGAAATTATCGGCAGTGGGCGTCATCGAAACAGAGGGAGAGCGTATTGTTTGCGCAAGTATTTATAGTGAAGGCAGTGACAAGGAAAAGAAGAGGGTGAACCTGCAGAAGATGAGGACCTCCGTGGATCTGATGGAGAGAATAGTGGAAAAGTTTGCAGACGAAAAGATACTGATTGGAGCCGACGCCAACGCCAAGAGCGAATGGTGGCACAGTGGAAGGAACGACGACCGAGGAGAGTTGCTGGAGGAAGCAATATTGCGTATGGAAATTTGCGTGCTGAATCAGCCAGGGTACCCTATGACCTTTCGAGGGTACAGAGGAAGAGAAAGTAATGTTGATGTAACCCTAGTGACGGAGAACTTGATAGAAGAGAGCGAATGGGAGGTACTCAAGGACGAAGATGGGGTCGCCCTGGCTGATCACAGAACGATAGTGATTAGAACTAAAGAAAATGAGGGGGGAACTGGGGGAGAGAGGGGGAGGATTAGAACGGAAGGAGTAGATTGGGAGAACTATAGGAGGGAGTTAGAATTGGAGTGGGTGAGAAGGAGGGAATGTGCAGCAGGAGAACAAGAAATGGAGGAGAGAGTGAAAAGGCTGACAGAAATTATAGTAAAAGTAAGTGAAAAAGTCTGTGGGAGGAAAAAGAGGGGTAATGGGAGAGGAGTCAAATGGTGGAATGAGCTGTTAAACGAAAAGAAAAGGGAGGTTAGAAAGAAAAGAAGGGAATACCAGAAAGCCACAGGAAGAGACAGAATGAAAAGAAAATACGAACTAGAAAGGACATCGAAGGAGTTTAAGAAGATGATTGCAAAACAGCGCTTTGAAGGGTGGAAAAATTTCGTGAATGAGATTGGAAGAAAAGACCCATGGAGTGTGGTATACCGGATGCAGTGCGAAAAGATGAAGACAGAGAAGGTGTTAAGTGCCATAAGCGAGAATGGGGAGGAAACGAAGGACATGGATGGGACACTGCAGGCCCTCTGTCGGAAGATGTTCCCATCGGACGACCCAGGGGGGGAGGATGAACAGCACACTAGTATGAGAGAGGCGATGAGAGAGGAAAGCGTAGGGGAAGACGATGTAGAGGTATCCGAAGAAGAGGTATTTAAAGGACTAGCAGGGATGCAAAATGGAAAGGCTCCCGGAGCGGATGAGATAGAGGTGAAAGTATTGAAAGAGTCGTGGGGAGTGGTTGGTGAGGAAGTGGTGTGGATTGTTAGGAAGATGCTGGAAAGTGGAAAGTACCCTAGCGAGTGGAAAATCGGGAAGCTGGTGG